CAGTTCCATCGGTGAAGTGTGTTCAAATCCAAGTTCTTCCAACAAATGTTTCAACCATGTTAACTCACAAGTGGTATGCGCCATTGCCCTGTATTCCGATTCTGCACTCGACCGCGCCACTACCGTCTGCTTTTTACTCTTCCAAGAGACAAGGTTACCACCAACAAACACACAATACCCAGTAGTAGATTTCCTATCTAGGGGTGATCCAGCCCAGTCTGCATCTGTGTAGCCCTTTATTTGAGTATGTCCAAAATTTTGATACAGCTAGGGGTGTCCAAAAGTCCCGAACCGAACCGGACCGAACCGAACCGAGCGGTTCTTCATAAATTAAATACCCGAACGGGTACCCGAATCGAGAACCGATGGGTTTGGGTCGGGTCTCGGGTCTAGACCAAGAACCGAAGAACCGAATAAGAACCGAAACTAAATAATTTTTTTTATTTTTTATATTGAATTAATCAAATTATTTTATTTTTTTCTAAACAAATTAGCAAATTTATTAAATAAATCAGATTATTTCATAATTTTATTTTAAAGCCCAAATCATTTTTAAAGCCCATTAGCCCATTTTAATTTGAAGCAAATGAATATACTTTATATAGTGTTACTGTAATATTAATATCTACTTTTTGGTATTTGTATGCACTGAATTAATTTTATTGGACGGCTAGTTATTTATATGTTTTTGAATTGAGCTACGTTAATTTGTAAAAGTTACGAATGAAATGTCATTAGTTGTATTTAAGTAGTGTTACTGTAAATATTAAAAAAATTAATTATAGTACGAAACCGAACGGAACCGAATCGACCCGAACCCGAATGGTTCCATAATTATATTTGGACTCGACGGTTCCATTTATTAAATACCCGAAAGTTTTGGGTCTGTTCGGGTCTCTTCAGAACCGAATCGACTCACGGACAGCCCTAGATACAGCAAACCACAACCAGGAGCGCCTTTCAGTTATCGGAGAATACGAATCACTGCATCCCAGTGACAAATCATTGGACGACCCAAGAACTGACTAATAACACTAACAGCAAAGGAGATATCTAGTCTGGTAAC